CGAAGTAGGCGTCGAGAAAAGTTAGGATCTCTTGGCCGGTCGTGGCATCGATCATACGATCGATGTTTGGCAAGGGGAAAGAATATTTTGGACATGCTTTGTTCAAGTCTTTATAATCTACGCACATTCTAAGTTTGTTTCCTTTTTTAGGAACTACAACTACGTTGGCGAACCACTCGGGGTACTTTACCTCCCGAATGGATCCGATTTTAAGAAGTTTGGTTACCTCGTCCTTTATGAAAGCATGCTTTACCTCGGATTGAGGCCTCCTTTTTTGCTTTACCGGCTTGAACCTGGGGCCGGTACATAGCCGATGCATGGTGATTTCTGGTGGAATCCCTGTCATATTTAAATGGGACCAAGCAAAACAATCCATATTATCAATAAGAAATTGAATGAGTTTTTTCCTGAGTTCGGGGGTCAATCCCGTTCCTAGGTATACCTTTCTCTCGGACATGTATTCAATCAAAATGACCTGCTCCAGCTCCTCGATAGTTGATTTGGTTGCATCCGATTCTTCGGGAACGATGAAGGTTCGAGGAGTAAGGAAATCTTCATCTTCATTTTTGATTACCCGTTGCTCCGACTCCATCGAGGATAGAGGCGGTGATTGCTATTTGGAAGCCTCTCACCCTGGTGCTCGATTTCTCCGAGGTCAAAGGCTCTGGTATAGGCACCACTTCCTCAATTGCAAATATCTCTTTTGCAGCATGTTGCTCTCCGTAGATCGTTTTTACTCCTTCCTCTGTTGGGAATTTTATCATCTGGTGAAGAGTTGAAGGCACTACCCTCATGTTGTGTATCCATGGTCTCCCGAGGAGTGCGTTATACCTCATGTCACCTTTGATGACATGGAATCTAGTGTCTTGTATGGTCCCGGCTACGTTCACTGGAAAGATAATCTCTACCTTTGTTGTTTCGCTTTCCATGTTGAAGTCATTTAGGACCCGGGACGCAGGTACAATCTGATCGTGTAGGCCAAGTTGTTCCACGACCCTCGATCTGATTATGTTCACTGAGCTGCCTAAATCCACTAAAACACTTTTAACTTGAATTTTATTTAAAAGGATAGAGATTACCAGGGCGTCGTTATAAGGCTGAGATATGCCTTTTGCTTCCTCATCATAGAATGATAAGACGTCATCGGGCACATAGCTCCAAGTCCGTTTTTCTCTGGTGATCGATACTTTGGTGCGTTTGAATACAGGTCGTTGAGGTACATCGACTCCGTCGATGATCATGTGGATTACATGTTGTGGTTCTTCTTGCTCATTTTCCTTGTATCTCTCTCCCTAAAGTGATTCTTAGCTCGATCACTTAGGAATTCTCGAAGGTGGCCCCCGTTGAACAAACGAGCCACTTCTTCCCTTAGCTGTCTGCAATCTTCTGTTCGATGACCAAGTGTGCCATGATACTTGCACATCAAGTTCGGGTTTCTTTGAGAAGGATCGGCCTGTATAGGTATGGGCCACTTGGTGTCTTTGATTCTCCCAATAGCTGAGACAATCCCCGATACATCTATGCTGAAGTTGTACTCTGATAATCGAGGACCCTCTGCGGGGTCTGTATTTTTATCGAACCCCCTCTTACTCATGAGTCCTCGAGAACCTTGACCTCGATCATTTCTCCGATCGCTCCGAGGAGTGTTACGGATTGGGCCGTTGTTTCTTCGATCAATATATGGCAGATACCATTCTTTGTTTAATCTCGATTCCCGATCCGTGTCCCTCGGGGGCTTGGATGCGAATATGTTAGGATGAACTGAACCCAAGGGGGCTCCCAACTGGTCGTCCTCGACCCTGATTTTTGACTGGTAACAATTGTGCACATCCGACCATGTCACAGCTGGATATTCGATCAAGTTCTGCTTTAATTATCGAGATACAATCGAGCTCCTTTCATTCAAACCGTGCATGAAATATTGCACTGCCCAGTCATCTGAGACCAGTGGTGACTCCATTCTCTCCATCTGGAACCTAGATACGAATTCCCTTAACATCTCGTCGTTCCTATGTTATATCTTGAAGACGTCCGATTTTCTGGCAGCCACCTTTATGGCCCCAGCATGTACTTTCACGAAGGCGTCTCCTATCAAAGGAAATGAATCAATAGAGTTAGGAGCTAAGTTGTGATACCAAATTATGGCTCCTTTTGATAAGAGTTTCCCAAACTTTTTCAACAACACTGACTCGATTTCATCGTCATTCAAGTCATTTCCTTTGATCCCACAAGTGTATGAAGTATTATGTTTTTTAGGGTCGATTGTCCCGTTATATTTGGGTATATCGGGCATGTGAAACTTCTTGGGAATGGGCATCGGAGACGCACTCGGGGGGAATGGTTTTTGTATGAACTTTTTGGCATCTAAACCTTTCAAGACCGGAGGTGCCCCTTGTATTTGATCAACACGGGATTTGTAAGTCTCCACCTTTTTGTCATTTTCTTCAATCTTCTTTTCTCCGGACTTGATCCTCTTGGCGAGCTCTTCGAGCATCCTCATAATGGTGGGGTCAGTCCCCGAGTTATTTTCGTTCGACCTCTCCGATTCTGGTTTAGCATGCCGAATATTTTCATGTTCAGCTACGCTCGAGTCTTATTCTTACTTTGAAGTTGAGCGATGGCGATTTGCTGAGCTTGCAGCATCTCGAATATCACTTAGAGGCTGATTCCCCCATCTCCCATTCCTCGTGTTCCTTGGCCACCAGATCGGGCTTCCCTGCGTTCATTCCCTATGGGTCTGTGCCTAAATCCGTGTTTAGAGCATTATGTGAACTGATATCAACCGGCTCCATATTTGGCACTTCCTCAGGGTTTATTGGTGGTACACCGACCCCTATACTGTTGTTTTCTCCAAGACCTTCGTTGTCATGAACAAGTGTGTTTTGTTGCTAGACATGTTTGCCTGAGAATAAAAAAATCTTGACAAAAATAAGTGTAAAAACATGTGTAATGAGAATTAGTAAAAAAATAATCACTATTATCATTAGCCCACGGTAGGCGCCAAACTATTTACCTCAAAAATACGAGTAACAATTAAATTTGATTTGTGGTTTTAAAGATATGTAATTTAGTTCAATACCAATTAATAATCAAGAAGTATGAAGTAGAAATGAAAGAGAGGAGTGAATCAAACTAATATAACTCAGCAGCAGTGACCTCGAGGCAGGCTTAGAACAATAAGAAAAATTAAGTAATAAAGTAAAGTAAGAACAGTAGATCTAAAGGACAATGCTGATGAACATTAGGCGAAAAAGGTAGAGAGTATATTCTTTTCTCAATGATAAGATAGTCCCTACAAATGATTGGGGTCCCCTTTATATAGTAGGGGAACCCTAAATAAGGTATATTTCTATTTACAGTAAGAAATATTCTTGGTACAGCTGTCTAACCACCTAGTACGGAATTGTATGATCCTATTCCAGGATTTGCGCCATGATTTTGGGGATATGGCAGGAATCTAGCTCATTCGGTTATAAATTCATAACGGTACTATTTCGGGATCGAGCATACTCAGCCCTGGCACTCCTCGTACTCCCATCTCTCGAGCATTGCACTCTGTCTTCGAGCTTGAATCTGGTTCACCGGGATCGAACTCGACCTTGCCAATATTCTCTGGTAAAAGAAATCTTTATTTATCAACAAGCTTCCCACATAAAAGATCATAGACATTGTTGGATTCAAAAATAACAAATCATGCGAAAGCTAATAAAACAAACCTTGAAGGCGATCAATCAGACGGCATAGAGAAGTATATTAAAAAAGACATAATACTTTAATATGATTTGGTCAATTGATCAACATATGAAAAATTAACATAAAGAAAAAAGACACCACTTGTTGAGTTTGAAAATAACAAGGCGTCACGTGAAAGTAAATAAAGCAAACCTTGAAGACAATAAACATGCAGCATATAGAAGTATATTAAAACAGACATAATACTTTAATATAATTTTGGTCAATTAACCAACATATAATAAAACTAATATTAAAGAAAAATGTCACGGAGAGAAAAATCTCTCTAGACAAATATATTATGGATGTTATTATGTTGTTGTGTGAAAAAGGATTCTCAATTTATAAAGGCCACAACATTTTCTTCCAAGAAAGGAATTTATTAAATATGAAAGAGATCTATATTTTTTTATACTCTTCCTTTAAGTAAAAGAATAAATCTAAATAAGTTAAGAAAATCAGAACAAATTTCTAACAGAACTATTAGCCATCAACCACGACTTATGAAATCAAATCACCACTGTCATGCACAAACTTCATGATTCCAGCACACCTTAATTTATCACTAACGTAGCTAAACACGCAATATTTTTTATAAAAGAATAAATCCTATTGACAAACAAATATTATTAACTGTATAGTCTTGTCTAATGGCAGATCGTGGTATTCCCCAGCTGCAATTTCACTTTTAGGAATGGCGGGCAGCACGGGGCGACTTCTGTTTTTACCCACCCAGCCCCGGCCCACATAGCATTTAAACCCGCACTCCACCCACCCCACACCACAGCTTTTTTTAAAAACAATTTGTCTTTTTTTTTTTTTGTTGCCAGTAGTTGCATAATATAAACATGCCACAAACATTTGCACGACATCTTAAATTTTCACTTAAATTCACATATAGAACCTTGAACCAGTAGGAGTTCTTCGTGACTCTTTTGCTTATTCGACATTGAATGACTACTACTAAGATCGCCATTTTTACTATTGAGCGAAGCCATGATTTTTCAAGAGCCTTTTGGCGAATGTCTTAAAAAGCAGCCCAAAATTGCCTTATGTTTGGTCTGCTCCTGGCCGACTGGTAGCAGCTCTGGAGCATGCGTCCCCTCCCCCCCCCCCAAGTTAAAATTTGAACTTTTTCTTTTCTTAATAAAAAAAACTAGTACCACCTCTTGTATACCTTTTTTTTTCTTTTTTATTTAATTATTTTCCCCGTCTCTCTCTGTCTTTTATTGAAATCCTAAATTTTTTCTGAACATTATAAAGAAAAATAAGACCAAACGAGATTTAATTGCTTTAACCTAGATCTGTAAATGAAATCAGATGAATCACTTCCTTTTCAGGATATTAGCTATGGACACCATCTCCATGATCATGACAGAATGACAAAAGAACAACACTTGTTGCCAACAACTCATCCCATATAAAACAGAGCCAACCTTGCATCCATTATTTTTGAGCAGAACAAGATGGAACCTAGTCTAGTGTTCTCAAACAACACGCAGGGGCGGATTGCAAAGGCTTCGGGAAGGACCTATTCAGCACAAAAGTTGGATTTTAGACTTTATGAAGTTAACAAATTCACCCATTCATGGGCATTTAAAAGAAATCTGCAGTTACCGGCGCTAAGCCACCCACAGTAAAATGTGGTTGCAATTTCCATAAAGAGATCAAGTTAAGAACATCTAGCCATGAAGAGTAAGATTGGAGCGATACAGGGGAGTTCAAAGAAAACCGGAAAAACCACACCAAACAAGTTAGGCAGATGGGAAGAAATTACCTAGCGTTTTTTGTCTTTGACGGGATTTAAACCCTGGTCTCGGAGGTTTTCACCCACCCACCTCATTGACTGCTAGGCTACTCTTGGGTGCAAAAATAAGTATGGTTGGCATGGATTAGACTTATTTGGCTTAAGCCTTCTAGGTATTTGCGATAGGAAGAGAAAACTCATTTACGGGTTACACTTATACTTGGAGAGAAATGAAGTGCACAAAGGAGCATACTCCATTTCTCAAGTCTCTTACTGTTACCTGAAGTTTGCTCTGTCCTAGAAAGTGGAGAATCAGTACACAAAAGTTTGTTGAGGACACTTTGACTAACATGATGGGAAAAGAATAGCCGTGTGAAAGAAATCATAACGTACGGAGGGAACATTGACTCATTAAATGAAAAATAAATAAAAAAGATCTATATACAACAATTGCCTCCAAAAGAAAAAACCATACTTCAACCTTTAGATCGATGAATTGTCAAAAAGGCAACAGGATACTGGCAAAGATTAAATACCTGCCAAACCCAGTGCTGGAGAATAATCGGCACCATTGTACTTGCCTTTCGCCAGGGCAAACAAACCTACCACAGAAATAAAATATAGTCAGCTGATAGTTTACAAAAAGGTAAAGGATGGTGGAGCAGATAAACCTAGAATCAGGACTCCCCATTAAACTGTTACAAAGTGTTAATAAGCAAATGATAGGCTTTTGTTCTACAATCATGAAACTACTATAAACAAAGCTTTTTCCGAAAAATAAACGAACATAACAGTACTAAAAGGAAGGATAAAAATAAGTTTAAATTGCATCTCAATTAGTGAGCATGAATTTGTGGATGGATTTTAAATGAATGAATTTCCAATACACAAGTTTAAACACTTCAAAAAATGTGCATCAAAGTGGCAGAGTATCGTGCACTGGATTGTTTAGAAGCAACTATAGCCAGCAATACTTCATAAGCAGTTGGGACTTGGGCATAGTATCCTTTTTTCTCTTTCAAATAAATAGGACTTGGGAATAGAGTATATATCTGAATCTACTCTGCACAGTATCAACTGCAGCGATGGTGATGTTTGTGCCGAATTCTTATACTTGAAATATGTTCACTGACCTGCTGCAGTTTGTGTTGGTTAATTGGGACAGTTCGCACCAATTAGAAAATAAGTAAAAATTCAACAAAGTTGTCTTTTTTTCTCTATCCACAATAATGAGAGTGTCGCTTTTGACATGAATGCAGCTTGGTTACTATTGAAAATTGAATTAACCAGGTAAAGAAACCAACAAAAAAAGTGGTAGGGGCTCAGTGGCAGCCCAACTATAAAAATCCATTTACCCCCGTCACCAAGTTGTCCTAATAGGAATTGGGTGGAGAGATTTTCGGTTAGAGGCATAATAAAAGGCCTTTAACTCAGGATAATTGCAATGCTACTCCATAGACCAAAGATTGATAGTTATACTTGGATAATAGATACCTCAAGCATGGATCTTGGACTTCTCAACTCGTGTTCGAGGAATTGCCAGGATTGCTATAAGTCCACCGGCAAATGCTGAAACTGCTGCCACAACCAAGGCTGGTGAGTTGCCTCCACCAAAGAGCTCATCCCATGGCCCGCTTCCAAGTGAAACCAACATCTATGAACAATAACAAAATGAATCTCATTTACTGGCTTAGACGTCTTCTGGAAAGTGACAAGATGCGTGCTAATTAAAGTGCAGAAAAATTTTCCTCCTGGAAACACTCCGATAATAACAATATTATTGCAAGTCTTTGCTAAGCCTAGTAAGTTTTTCACTGAAAAGAAGGGCAGGGGAAAACACAGCTAAATAGATCAAAATGGCGAGTTACATCGTGGAAATGCCTCCATATTATAAAAATATTTATTTGCCAGCGATTGACAGCACTAACTTGTCATCATAACTGATGCTTTTTCCCCCTCTCAATTGTAGCAGAGAACATACCAGGATTATATATAATGCAAAGAGCAAAATTTGAGTTAGTGGGATAAAAGAGGTGAAACATTAGAAGACTCATAATTTCATTTCCTCTGCCACCTTCTAACTTTTATAGTACAATAAACACATCCATGAAAAGCCTAAAGTACTTCATAATTTTCCAGACCTTACTATTTAACCCACAAAGTATATACACTAACCTCCTACTTTGGGAAACCTGCAAATCACTGCCCCCTTAGAATGAGGCGAACAGTGTTAGGTTCCATGTTTAAATGTCAAGAAAGGTTCATTTACCGGTGTAGCTTTATAACAGGGAAGTTTATAATGCTGCTGAACAAATATACACAAACTATGCATTTTGTTCATTTAAGAAATATAATGTTTTCCAATAACCAGGAAATTTCTTCCCCCCACTAGCTTGGGACGGAAGGATAGTTATTATTGTTGCAATAGTAACTGAGAAATCCCCTATGGGGTAGTGATATTAGGCTGTATAGACGATATTTACACCTTAATTATACTATACTTTATTGTTGTTTTATAGGCGAAATGATAACAAAATGCTCTAATTGGTGTTCTTTTGCTTCGTAGGGACTAATCCAAGTTAGGAAGAACTATGGAGTGTTTTGGAGTCAATAATGTGAAGAAAACGTCCAATCAAGAAGCACCCGAGCGTAAAGAAGCAAAAAGTGGACTGGGGTGGAATCCACCGCGACCACGGTGCACCGCGGTTGGACCGCGGCAGGAAACTAATGCGAGGCAGAATGTTTGGCCTTCACCGCGGTCGAGTCGCGGCCGCGGTGAACTGTGCAATTGCCCAGACTTTTGGGACCAAAGTGTAACTCGAAGAAAACTTGTTCCAAACCCTTATAAACTCAAGAAGCTCGCCGAAGAAAAGATTAAGCTTGTTCTTTTTTTACTACTTTGGAAGCAAGAACAAGTGTGAGAAAATCAACCAAACATTAGAGTTTTTCTATCTCCTTTTAATTCTTACAATTACACATTATGAACAACTTTGTAGTTTTATCTTGTTTTGTTATGAGTAGCTAAACAATTGATCTAGGGTTGATGGAACCAATTGTTGGTTGAAGTTTTGACTCAACTTGTTTTTTTTTTTTTTTTGATTTGCACCGGGTGTCTGATAATAGGTGAATTGAACTATGATTAAGCCCTAAAAGGACCACTTTCTTGTAGAGTTTTTATGGTAAAAGTGATAACAAAATGCTCTTAAAAGTGTTTTTCATGTTTTGCAGGTTACATACAATAAAAGAAGGCTATGGAGTACTTTTGGGATCAATTATGGAGGAAAAAGAGGCCAATCGCATAATAACAACCGAATGCACCATGTGAAATGCACAAACCAGAACTGGAGATGAACTGCCGCGGTCTCGGCGTAACCGCGGTCGGACCGCGGCGAGAAGCTATTGCAGATTCAGAGAGGTCATTTGGCCGCGATCCTAGTGTAACCGCGGTAGGACCGCGGCAGGAGGCGTAAAATTGAGGGACTGAAGTGCAAAACACGGAATTCTTAGCCCAAAAACCCTATTTAAACAATAGAACTCGCCCAAGGGAGGCATGTAATATTTTTAGAGAGTACTTTGGCAAGGAAAACAAGTGTGAGAGATCACCCAAAACATCATTACTCTTATTCTTCTTATTTTTCTTGCAATTTATGGTTATGAATCTTTTAGTAGTTTATTTCCCCATTGTCATGAGTAGCTAAAAACCTTAATCTAAGGTTTTGGTGGAACCCGTTGGGGATGACTTGGTTGTTTTATTAATATAATTGAATTTGGTTGTTAATCTCTAATTGTTCAATCTATGTTTTGATTGTGGATTAGTTGAAAGGGCCCTCAATTATCCGTTCCTAGTTATTATGTATCTACTTGAGAGAGAGTGCATATTTAGGTGATTGTATGAACAACATCACTCCCGGAGTATAGACAAGAGTCATAACCGAGGGTTTAGGGGTTGGATTAGACATAACGAAACCCCGGGTGCAATCTAAGTGAATTGTATTGTGAAATTAGCTAGCGTAGCTTGAGAGAGTGCGTCTAGTAGATTATCATAATTACTTGAGAAAGAATTATGATAGCTTGAGCGTTCATGATTGTTAGAGACAACTAAATCGTAGTTATAAGACATATACAACCAAGGAAATTACCAACGGGGGAAACCATTGCCTTAGACTTTATTCCTACTGTTTACACCTCAAGTTTAGTTAATTTTCAACTGTTAATTACTTTCAGTCTTTAGTTGTTAGAAAATAAACCATTGTGAATCAAAAAGTTTGGGAAAACAGATTGTGTGAATTTAGTAAATCTGACAGTAGTGATTGATAGGTTAGTTCCCTGTGGTTCGACTCTGGGCAATAATACTCAGATTATGTTTGCAACGCCCGCATAGTCTTTTGTGAGACTCAGTTGAGCGCGATCAGTGTCCGAGTCTCTAAGAGCCCCGACTAATCCCGGGGGTGCACAGGCCCTCGGCAAGGAGTTTCCCGCAAGTGCACCACGGTTAATTCAGGTTTTACCCAGTCCGATGGCCCTCAGAAATTGTTTGCACCAAGTGGGTTTCGAACTTGAGACCTTGAAAGGGAGCAAACTCCAAGACTCAAGTCAATTGCCACCAAGCCAACCCCTGAGGGTTTTGACTCAACTTGTTATAATCGAGTCGGATTTATTATATGATTGTTCAACTACGTTTTGTATGGTGATTAATTGAATGGTCCCTTGATTAATCGTGTCTAATTGCCTTATATTGCTTGAGAAAGAATATTAGGTTAGACTGCTGTTGAACAACACCACTTTTGGGTAATTGAAGAGATTCATTACTTGAACTGAAAAGTGGGGTTAGAGATAACGAAACTTTGGTGGGATAATTCAGAGCTGCACATATTGTCAGCTAGAGTAGTTCGAGAGAATGGTCTAGTAAATTATCGTAGTTGATCGAGAGATAATTACGATAACCCATAGCTCATAATCCTCATAGAGTATTATGGCGAGATTATAGCAAAAGAGTTAAGACCTAAAGTAGCAATTAGGGAAGTCAATGCCCTAGACCTTTTTACCATTGAATTATCTTTGACTTAGCATATTGTTATTTTTAATATCATTTGAAGTAGTTAAACAAAAACCAAAGATTTATTGATAAAAATTTTGCATCAGGAAATTGGTTGAGTTGATAATAGCATTGCCAAGAGTTGTAATAGATAGGTTAGTTCCCTGAGGATTCGACTCCGGACTTAAAACCGGATTATATTTGCAACAACCGCTTTGTCTTTTAGAAGGCATAGTTGGGCATGATCAAATTTTGACACCGTTGCCGAGAATTAACGGTGTTATTTATTACAACTTAGAAGTAGTGTTAAAATTATTAGTTTAGATCAATTTTCGAAGGTTGACAAGAGGGGTTGCTCTGATGGTAAGCAACCTCCACTTCCAACCAAGAGGTTGTGAGTTCGAGTCTCCCCAAGAGCAAGGTGGGAAGTTCTTGGAGGGAAGGATGCTGAGGGTCTATTTGGAAACAGCCTCTCTACCCCAGGGTAGGGGTAAGGTCTGCGTACACACTACCCTCCCCAGACCCCGCTAAGTGGGATTATACTAGGTTGTTGTTGTTGTTGTTGTTGTTGTATCAATTTTCGAAGGTGTTAAACAATTTTTGTTTTCATTGAAATTCTCACGTTTGAACTCTTATGGGATTCAGGTGTATGCCTAGAAATTCTTCGAGGACTGGAGAACTGCTTGAAGGACTCTCAGACCCCGAGAAAACATTCAGGGCATTGAACCGTGCTAACAAGAGGATCCAACAATCACAACAATCACACCAGCTTGAAATTCACATGGGTGACGTAGAGAACGTCAACAGAAAAATAAGGGATGAGCCAGCTGACCCAAACGTCAGAGTGATGGCACCTCATGTGCCAGAAGCTGCACTTTATGATTGGGCACAGCCGACAGCCGACAACCTGGCTACTGCCATAGCTGTGCCCCCAATTCAAGCGGAGACATTCCAGATCACCAACAACATGCTGCATCTTCTGCAGAATAAGGGATTGTTCTCCGGGTCACACATTGAAGACCCTCAGCAACACTTGAAAAATTTTCTGTCGATTTGTGTGACCCAAAGGCAGCCAAATGTGACCCCATCAGCTATCAAGCTGTTACTGTTCCCGTTTTCTGTGACTGGGGAAGCTCAGACTTGGTTGAATTCGCTCCCTATAAATTCCATGGTCACCTGGGAGGAATTAGTCAAGCAGTTCCTGAATAAGTTCTACCCGCCCAATAAGACTGCAAGGCAGATTGATGAAATATTGCAGTACAAGCAGCAGCCGACTGTGAGCTTGCAGGAAACTTGGGAAAGATTCAAAGGGATGCTAGTGAAGTGTCCTCACCATGGTATTCCAGACCAGATGCTCGGCCAGAGGTTCTACATGGGGTTAGCTGACAATCTAAAGGCGAATGTGGATGCTTCAGCTGGAGGTGCATTTTTTAGTAAGACATTCACCGAGTGCAAAGTCCTTCTTAACAAGATGTCCCAGAGTTCGGGGTGGATGACGAGAGGTACAACACTGGCACCCATAGTGCATTCAGTTCCTCTTGACCCAAATAATTCGCATGCAGAGAACATAGCCACACTGACTCAGATGAGTATATTGACAAAGAAGATTGATGAGATGG